GTTTATCCCTAAATAGATGCATACTGCAAGTTAGTCTGATATATACAATATTTTTAAGCCTGGAGCTGAACTCGACTTATTTAGCAGTCGAATGTTGGATGATGGTTGATGTGAGAAAAGATGTGAGGACCAAATATATATTCACGTGAGTTCAAATTCCAAAACTACAAGTAGTGTGAAGAGGTGACACTGTGCATGTGAACATGTGCCTGTGAAAAATGTGAAAATTAATTTGGGATTTCAGATGGTCAGCCTGTCACTCCAAATGATGTGCTCCTCACTTGCTCAAACACACACACACCATAGAGATGCTTCTACAGTGTACATGATGTGATATCATGAAATATTTTGTGTAACCCTGATGACAGACAAAGAAACAAAGAAAGAATAAAACACACAACTGACAGGAGGGGAAACATCACCACCCTGGCAGAGGTAATAGTGAAACGAATTGTTAGTTGCAGTTCTTTGTACGTAGTTAGCCTGGTATACTATCACTTGCACTTTACCTTGTAGTGAGTAAGGACACAGCTCAGTTCATCCCTTCCACTTTTGGCTTGTGTTTCCCTTGCACACCCCTGCGGTGTGTGGAGAAATGCACAGCTCAAGAGGTTTGCTGGGCCTGTTTGAATCCGCTGTGACTGGACAATCATCCTCTGTGGCACAACATGTTCCCTAAAGTAACTTAATGATTGTGATGTTCCCTTAACTTTAAAAAATTGCTGAGACGCTCTAACCTTTGCAGCATATGGGTGAGTCGAGATAAGAATATGAATAAATAATATGCATAAATTCTCTCAAACTAAAGGTGACTCAGGCGTGAAGGATTTGGTCCTGTCGTTTCTAAAAGGGAGTTTAGGTTCATTTAATGCTTCTGTGTCTCTACTGTGTGTGTGTGTGTMTGTGTGTGTGTGTGTGTGTGTGTGTGTGTGTGTGTATGTGTCTCCACCTGCTTCCACCTTTTCTAAGGTCCCTGTGTTCTATTGCAAAATATAACAAAGACCAATCAGTCGTAGCTTCAAAACCAATGACTGATTTAWACATTGTGGCTGATTGGTCTTATTTATCAAATCAAATTTTATTCCTCAAACCTTTTTAATGTATCAGACTTTCAAATAAGATGCATTCTTTTTTACCAGAAAGCTGCAGAGACACTGCTTTCACAGAAGCATCCGCCGAAATTTCAAGGGAGGATGGAAGTAGGGCATCACATGTGCACGCTTCCTCATAATCAAGGTGCAAATATGCAAAATATGATAAACGTCATCTACACACAAGCGTGCACGCACACACACACACACACACACACACACACACAGACACAATAAAGAGGCCTGCACCAGCAGCTGGTCTGTTGTGCCATATTTTGTCAAACACCTCTCTCTAGTGTTGTTCTATGAGAACTGCATCCTCCCAGCTTTCTGTCTGTCCATGTGTTCATCATATGAGATAACGGATGTGCCACCAGGACTATATGCTGGTTAAAGGTATTAGAAATAACTTACTAAAGAGTCTTTATTGTTTATTTAGGTACAAATCCGGGTCATAAGGTTGCATTCCTATTGCTTAACAAAAGGAAATACATTTTTTCAACCAGGACAACCTGGGATAGTGCGAGTGGATATATTTCTTATATTAATATTAATATATTAAAATTAATATTTGCAGTTCTATCTATGCACATGTAAAAAGGATTTCAAAGTATACACTGTCAACTGACTGACTGCCTTGAAAACGTTTCCTAAAACTACCAGAGCAAATGTCTCCATAACAGAAAGGCTGATGGAGAAAACTAAAATGCCACTAGTGACTGTAAACTGTTTTTAGACCTAACTTTGTGTTTGCTGCGACACACAATGCTCAGGTGTTACAACTGACTCTGTATATTAAATCAAATTGTCATTTCTATTTATGTCAAATTAGTTGAGCTGCTCCACAATCTCTCCACGTTGTCCCTGGCAACTGCAGCCGTAGCTCCTGAAGGAACACGCACCCCTGGCTGGGAATCACCGGCTTACCTAATGAACAGAGATACAGCAGCTACCTCAGTGGCTTCAACGGGACATGAATGTCACATGTTAATCAATTAAAGTTAATCTGGCAAATTATCCTTGAAACAATGAAACAGGTGTAAAAGCCTGGTAGAGAATCCTTGAGTTTCTGCACACTGCAGCGTGAATCCCTCTATATTTCATCCAGCAGCTTGACTCCTCGATCTGCAAGAAGATGAAAGCTCAGCTCCGTCTCCCCGAGGCCGCTGTGATCAGACATCAGAGGCCAGAGAGACTCATCCATCTCCTGTCACTTTACAGACTGAACAAACAACTGACATGTTCGGTGTGTGGTCGACGCAATGAATTTATGTTTTCACTTTTATCAAATAAGTTCCTGTAGAGACTGAAATGATTTAGTCAACCTGCCAAGTTTGTCAGTTGCCTTGGGCCAAAAAAACGTATTCTCAAATAATCATAGTATATTAGAGTATATGCATGAAAAAGCTCTGCACACAACATCCAGCGCACAAATGTCATGGGTCTGTTTGAGGAGGGCTCGCGAATCACGAGGAATAATTCTGAAAAGCCCCAGAGCATTAACACAGGCCAAGAAACGGGCATGTTTAGAATGGGCACTGGAATAATTCCACAAATTGCAAAAGTTTAAAAAGGTCCATTTTTAAATGTCAAAGTTCAGGTGAGTTTTCAAACACATGCACCATTAATGAAACACACCATCTCTCTTCTCCAGGAGGGAAGCTGGTGAAGAAGCAGGCCACCATTCTGTCAGCACTTCACTTTCAAACTTTAAAGTACACATTTGCCATCTAATCACTCTCCGCTCCACCTCTGCTTTTTCAATGCGGCTTCTCCGCATTCTTTTTTTATTCCTGCTCCTCGTCTTCTTTTTTAAGCTCTCTCTCTCCTCTGCTGTCATCTCTAATTAGGCCACTGTATGAGTCAAAGTGTGTGTGTCAGGGTGGATGTGGGCTGTGTGATTTTAAGTGGTCTTAGGAGGCCCATCACTCTGTTGAGCTTCCCTACATGTGTCCCACCGGTCAAAAGGGAGACACACACACACACAGACACACACACACACGACTGCTGATGCTAGGAGCAGAAATTCAATGTGGGTATAATGGCTCCCTTTACAGTTGCACTCCTTCGTACACAGCAGAATATCAAACCAGGCCTGGACAGCACAAGCACTAGAGCAGACCCTGAAACTATAAGTCCACAATAACAAAGCTTCCTCACTTCACATGCAGTTTATGTATACTAAACAATATACTGGCCTGTGTTAGAGGAAGTGAAGTTCATATGTACTCGGATCGATGTGTGTGTAATAACCACAAAAACAATAAGATTAATTCTTTACAAAAGAGGTAAATAAAAGAAATCCTTAACACCAAGAGAAATGTGTTGTGTCATGTGGTTAAAGAGTTGATAAGTTAGACTCACTCTTAACCGCAGTGGATGGCAGGTTTACATCTGATCCACTGATGTCGTGCCTGATTCACCACGACCAACATCTAGACTTATAACCATTAAATAGTGGAGTTCAATGTGTGTCACACACTCACAATAGTTTTATAGTCAGCAGACAAATGTGTTCACTTTATCAAGACATTATTTACACACAAATATGAGGCTTTAGATTTACATTTTGTTTGTTTCAGCTTCTAATTCAACATGTGTATAAACAAACATGTATTCTCAGACTGTGTATTATTAATTAAATAAACATGTAAATGAAATAATTTAACAATTTGTTAAAACTCATCTTGTGTAAAATGTTATTTAGTGGACTGTCTGCATCTCGGCCTGCAGAGCATTTGCCATAAACTGTTAGTGTATAAAAACAGCCGATAAATGTGGGGGGACACACACAAGGATCGAGGAATTTATAGAAAAGATAATGCAAAAGTAAATCAGAAAAAAACGTGCAGACGATGATCGTCTTCACAGGCTGTGTTACCGCCACATCACTTTTCATCATACAGTGGCTCCCTGACGTTTAGTGAATCATGCCCGTCTCTTAAGGAGGCACGCTCAATAACTGCCATCATCCAGAAGATCAATCCGAAGGCACAGACAAATCCTAGTTGTACCATCCAGTGTGATGGAGACATACAATGTTCACTAACTGCCTGTTACAGCAGCAATAACATGGATGTATTGCTATGAGCAGCAATATCCGCTGGAAAGTTCCAACCGACAAAGGAACAAACCTGACTTTAGATCAGTTAAAGGAGCCAAGACGTCAATAAATAAGTAAATATTCATTCAATATTAAAAAGAAAAGCACTCGTGTGTGTTTTGTGTGAACTGATCTCGTTCAGGTGAAGTCAGGTCCGCAATTATGTGAGTTTCCTTCTGCAGCGACCGACAGAGAATGCATCCTGTCGTCTTTACCACTCGTTCTGATGATGAGAACCTTGAGGAAGAGCGTGAAGAGATGACTGATGACAGCTTGGAAAGAAAGTCAAGGTCTAAAAAAACATCTGGAGCAGCAAGTCAGAGCACAACTGTAGCTCAGAGTAAACGTGAAACTTCAGGAGAGTTGAAATGTGTGACAAATGAGGACACGCCCCATAATGAGACCATCGTGGATTTATGCGTCAACATCAGGCTCAAGAAGTAACTGAAGTGTTTGTCTGGGACTCACTTCACCTTAACGTTTTATATAGAGACTTTACGTCCTACACAAGAGTCTGTAGGTTTTATGTGAGAATGGCTTTATTCCTACCAGCAGCCAGCTGGTCTGTATTTATATAGAACTTTTCTGTTCTTGATGATCACCCAAAGTGCTTTACAGTACTGTGTATCTCCATTCACACACATTCACAAAGAGCGAATTATGAGCTGCACTTTTTCTGCGTTGGGTAATTTGGGGTTCAGTATCTTGCACACTTCAGTTAGAGGATGGCCGCTCTGCCCCCTCAGCCACAGTCGCCCATAAAACTAAGAATTTGATTCTTTATGATTCGAGATTGTTTATAAACATTTTTAGGAAAAAAACCCATAATGCTTTATTGGCTCATTGAAACATTCAACATTGTTTAAAGTACATTCAGTGTTCAGCTGTTTATCTGAAGGCTTAACAGACAATAGTTTCGCCATCAAGCTGCTCTCTGGTTTAATGCTGGTGGAAGTGAAGAAAATTAACATCTTATTTACATTTGGGTGCAAAAGATTTCTCAGTGTGTTCCCCCAAAAAGAATTAAAAAAATAAAAGAGGAAAAACTACTCGGTGCACTTGAAAAAGATGCTATATGAAACAAATGAACTATAAAAAACATGAATGTACCTAAATCTCCCTTTAAGTAAGTGGTGGTTTTACTGGTTCTTTACTGACACCATATCCTCCTCCTGACTATTCAGGTATGGCTGCGGTCACAACTTCACTGTAGGACCCGTACCGGCCAAACGTGTCTTTGCCCACCACGGCGACACACACCTTGTGCCCCGGCTTGTACTTTCTGATCATCACACACATGGGCAGTTGGATGGCCTTCAGTTCACCGAGCATAATCCACTTTGGGAAGAAGCTGCTCCCCTTCACCTTCTCTACAGCCATGTAGACGCTGTGGGAGGAGGGAGAGAAATACATTAAAAATGGGAACTCTGCTTCCATCTGGTGGTCATGAGTTGACAGAATCTGTGAAGTAATGTTTTTCAGGCAGATGTGTGAAAAGTTATCAAGCTGTGATCAACCTGGAAAGACTCAAATACTTAAGGTTTTATGATGGGAAATTGATTTAAAGATTAAAGTTAAACAGTTGTGGCTCCCTGCTGGCTTGAAGCAAGTTCATTTAACCATCTAAAATAATCTAACATGAGTTGATCAGTCAATGGGCAGAAGAACTATCAGCACGTTTTGATTATTTTTGGTGAATGTTGATTATTCTCAGGCTCCAGTGAATAACATTTTACATTTCACAGACCAAATGATTCAAAAAATAATCTGCTCATCACTTTTAATGCAGAGTGTCTACAGCTATAAACCAGACATTTTAAGACCAATTGATATTAAATTTAAGATCAAATTTACGATGACAATACACATCCATGATGTTTCATAAGCACCGACTTAAACCAACACGAGTACTTGTCATTCACAAGCCATCTATCGTTTAACTTTTCCCCACTCGCCCTGTGCTGAATCTCACCTGTAACTCTCCACGGGCGCCGCACAAGGGTCTTCTTCCTCCACCTTCCAGAGCACAGAAAGGCCGGGGGGCTCCCTGATGAGGGCCAGATGTACATCTAGTCTCTGGGGAATGTTGTATGAGGCCGCTTCCATGTTCAGGGTGGAGGGGACAGGAGTAGGGGGAAGAGGAGGATACGAGGGCTTGTCCTTAGGGTGAGAAGAGGAGGAGGGAGTGGAGGACATGTGAGCAAACAGTCAAATTACTGATGGTCGTTAGTGTGAGTGTGTATTTCACCTGATCTGAGTCCTTGGGAGTTTTACTATTGTTAGAGGAGAGACATTGTTCTTTCTCAGTCTTTGGCTCTTTATTCTTCTTGGGCCAGTTAGTTTTCTTTTCTTTTTGCTCCTCGGCTTCTGGCCATTTCTTTATGAACTTGACATTTTCCTGAATATTAAAGACCAAAAACAAAGATGAGTTAATGAAAGAATTTCCACAAACAAAGAAAAACAGAACCGACTGAAGAATGTGGGTGATTTATATTCTAACTTTTTTTTTTTTTTAAATTGCTTGAATAGTTTGTCGTTACACATAAAGTACTGATGAGCGGCTTATATTGAAAAGAGTAAATCCAATAATGACCCCCAGCCTACCTTACACTTAGGAGACTCATTAGCAGTGACAGCTGAAGAAGTTGCCATGGCAGCCTTAATATCTTAACACCGATGTGTTAGCAGGGGAGGAGACAGGGGACAGTGTCATGATAGTAGCTCATTGAGTCAGCTTTTTATAAGTGATTTAGAGAAATAAAGCTTCATAAATAATAAAACATTTACCCTTGTTTTAAGTGGAAATAATCAAACATTTGCTTTTATGAAATCCTCTTACCTTCATTATCTGCATGCATCTTCTTCAAGGCCTTTTCAGTGGTTTTCTAAAAAGAAAAGAGAAGTTCTCAACTTTGGCTAAATCAATAACCCACATTGACTTTAGAATTTCCTGTGTATGTTAAATAATTATTGATCCCAAAGCCTCAACTCAGCTAAATAATTATAGTTAAAAATTACAATTAACACTGATCCATGTGATTTTTTTGTTGGGCAAACAGGAAGAAATAATCTATGAATAAAAAAATTAACATTTTTAAATAAGTAAATACATTTATTTAGCCCTTAAGCTTATAATTTTATATTCCTCTAAATTAAAAAGTGATTAACATTCAAATGAAAATAAATCCATATGTACCATCTCATGAAAGAACTCTGCAAAATCCTTTTCGTCTGCTGAAAAGTAAAATTGCACCAAATTAATACACATAACTAGCAAATGCATTTGACCACTGGTGCGCGCACTACACATTCTTGCTGGGCTCTTACTCTGTGACATGGTTTCCATAGTTTCATTCCCAGAATCCATCCTGCAGAGTTGGACAACAAATCAAAGTGTCTCAAAACTTATTAAAAACAAATAAATGCAATGTTTCTAACCAAACCTGGTTCTAAATACCTGACGACGTCCATGTTACCAGGAGGTTGCTGTGGTCTCTGAAAAAACATTTGAAAAGTGTGTGTGAATGTGAAATGTCAGTCCATACACAATTCACATGAATTCATGTTTGTGTGTTTGTCTCCACTAAACCTTGTTCTGTGTTTTTGTCATGTGGACGAGAGCTGCTTCTGCTCTCTTCGTCAACGTGTTGATTCGAGCCTGAGGACGAGAGTTCCACTTTTAGTTTTACAAGATAACACATTTAAAGGGCAACAAAAACATGTATCTGTGTAGGTGAATGTACGACTCAGAATAAAAGTGAGAAAGAAATGAGGAAGAAATAACATGAACAACAGGCGAGGCTTGAGAGTTGGAGAGTGGATTTACCAGCAGCTGTAAAATTTAGGAAAGAGGAAGAAGATAAAAAAAAAAAGAAGAAAAGAGACTGAATTTAAAACAGGTTAATGAAATTCATTAACAGAAAGAAATGTAGTGGGACATAAAAGAAGGAAGGGAACTAAATAAATGAACAAATACAGTTGCCAAAACAAAGATATAAAAAATGCACCACTACTTCAACCAACCTCCAACTTTTGGATGGTTCTTTCGTAGTCGACTGCCTGATCCAGATCCTGAACAGTCTCTATTAAATCCTGCAGCTTGTTTTCATTCCTTTTCACTTCACTGCGAACCTCCTGCTGGATCAGATTCTTCACCTGTAGATACACAGACGTATTACCAAATGTTTCCATGCACAGAAGTGGTACAAGTTTGGAAATCACACAGTTGTCAGTGTTGTCTCTTACTTCAGACAGGGAGAATTGTAGCGTTTTATCTCTGGCTCCAGAGGAAGTCGATGTGGAAGGTGATTTTTTCACTCTTCATGCATACGCACAAACGTACACAAGATGTCAGCAAAGGTAAAGAGTTGATAGTTTGATAATTTACACATCATGCTATCTTAAACAAAGTGCATATTGATACCTAGGGACAGTGTTGGGATGTAACACGCTACACTTATTTCTTTACTGAACTGAGCAAGTACTTATTTACTTTTACTCAAGTAGAAAAGATAATGTAACTTTTACCTGAGTACATTTTTGTTTATTTATATGTACTTATACACAAGTAAAATGTTTGCATACTTTCTCTAACAAAATATAGAGGGCTTTTTAGAGAAATACCTACTGCACCAATATCCAATAGGTTTATTTTACATTGCATGTAAGGGCTGCATGAACGAAGCATCAGAACAATGCAAATCCAATTTTTTTTTATTGTAACTCCAAAACCATTTGCTGACCGGCCGGCTCATGAAGCTGGACAAACAAAACAGCTCTTATGCAAGTGTGTATTTCATTCATCAAACAGAGAAACATTAATGAAGTTGTTCTGCGTAATGAAGCTGTTGAGGGTTAACTCACTTATCCAGGAGACACAGGGCCAATTCTCTATCACTTTTGAATCCTTTTGCTGCTTTCACATCACGCCACCTTTCCAAAGCGTTTCCAATGTTCACTCGAGCTCTGCTTTCTCTTCTTTGCCTCTCAGACGCAGGGCTGCATTTCTTGGCTTTGGTGGAATGGTCTTCTGTGTCTCGAGGAGACGCCTCTGCCATTTTCTCACCTGGCAAAAACAACAGATTTGATTATAAATAACTATCAATAATAGAATAGGACTCAAGAAAAGGCTTTTATGTTATGCATTGCACAGGATACAACAAAACTACAAGTGCTGCCTCCTGGTCAGTGCTTTAAGGAAACACTAATGCAACCGACTATATATACAGCAGCTTTGAGTTTTAGCTTTTTGTTTGTTTGCTGATGTTAAAATGTCAAAAACTGACAAGGGACCAGAAATTGCAGTACTTTAAGTCTCTGAAGTAAAGGACCGATTCACTTTCACCTCAGTCTCAAGGCTTTTGGAGGCCACAGCATTAGAAAGTCACGTGTCCCACCTGTGTTGTCTGTCCTGGTCTTCTGTGCTGCGTCCTCACTTTCTTTAGAATTCCTTGATCAACAGAAACACGTATGAACTGAGTAGATATCACATAAACATCACATATTGGCTGCAGCGGGAGCTTTAAGGTAAAACAAACTTCCAGACAAGACTCATGACAGACAACCAGTGGAAATGATGAATAAATAAATGAATTCAATAAATCACGTACATTCACTCAGTTTGATTAGTCCTGTTACTGGTCTCACCCACAGTAGGAGCATCACTGACAGCAGTGAGGAGAACTCAGGCTGGATGTGAATAACAAGATACTTTGCAAACCAGCTCACTGAGCTAACGGTACTAGCTAACGTTTAGCTAAAGCTTAAAGAAAACAACGTTCCTAACAACAAAAACCCGATCAGTAAAGTTTTTAACGCTAACGAACAAGTGCATGTATCTACTGTACAGATAATGCGTCGTATAAATATGAGACTAAAGTATAATTTAAAGTAGAAGTACATAACACCGGTGTTGTGTCTGTTCCACTTACCTCCGGTCAGATCCCTTCAGAATAAAAGCCCCGTTTCCGCAAATTATGAGTGAATCATAAAACTGAACAAATTTCATTCTTTCTTCTTCTGCTGCTTTTTCCTCTTCGGTTTACTGGCGCATTGCAAACAACTTAAACTGCATACCCCCACCTACTGTTCAAGAGTGTGTATCAACATGTCAATTAACACATTTCCTCAAATTCTACCTCTCAGCCCGTTCTTCTGTTAACAATGTCTTCCCAGTCTTTCCTCCCTTCTGTTCCTTTCTATGAACTTCTAGGTGATGACTGAGCTTTGTATTTTAGAGCATCTCCTTCCTTCTGGTCCTCCCACCCTTTCTGCCATATCTTAACCACGCGTGAGCTGGAACCCAACAAAAGAGAGCGTCTATACCGGCGCTGTGAAGTCTCAACAAACTATAGTGGTGCAGCTCAATCAGTAAATCTTCTCTGATATTGTAGATTGTGAAACAGCTTCTGATAAAAACCACTCTTTCCCTCTTTATCCCCTCTGTTTAATTTTTAGTGGCTAAGTGAAATAAAATAAAAGTCACAGACATACAAAAGTCATCATACTGTTAAATCATAATAATAACTTTAGATTCTGCAGGGAAAGTGTGGGTAACGGGATGAGAGTGAGTGTGTGATGAGTAAAGATACCTGACCCTAAAAGATTCAGCACAAACCAAATACATTTTATTTATTGTAAAACACATTTATTGAGATCTATGGATGGGAAACACAGGAGTGAAAATGAAAGCACCTCTTAATTCTTGCAGAGATAATTTAAACTTTGCTCCTGAATCTGAGTTTATTTGTAGTGAGGAGGGCAACAGGATTCACCGAGCAGAGACTAGCTTGTTCTTTTCTGTCTGATCTGTGGCCTGCAGCGACACATATGGTGTAGTTTTCTGTCAGTCCACTGGGTGTCAATAGCATCTAACCACTGATTTTGCCATAGAGGCCACAATAAATAGTGATTGAATTAGAATGAAAGAGAGAGAGCGACTGTCACAAGCAAATTCACTCACATTTAACAATGTTAAATAAACCTGTGTCACATCTGACAAAGAAAGACGTTTGTGTGAATCCGTTGCCAAGAGGGAAACTGTTGACCAACATGTCTCCATTATAAAACAACATGAGACTTCATTAAGCAATCGAAATTATTCAACTGCAACAAATCCCCATTAATATAATTTTGACTTCCACAAGTTGTATGACTATGGCCTTGTAGTTATTTGTATAGATCTGCATTGATCTCCATTGACAAACTAAACACACTACAGTAAAAGTATCACAACCATAACATACAACATTTCCAATTCTAAATCAATACTAGCTCTAACAAATCAACCTCTTAAGACAGATTGCTGTGGTTTCTGTTGAATATCGGCAACAGTGAACGCACAGAATTTATGTTCAAGTTGTTGGTTTATTCATAATTTAGATCGGTTATAAAATCAAATCCAAGCTAAATAGATGCAAACTTTACATAATCAATAACAAACTGTATTTCACAAAAAATATTCAGCCTATGGAACAACAACAACTTAGTTCTCAGTATAAGTTAAAGAAGGGATTTGCATGCAAACAGGAGGCTGACGATTTAGTTTAACACTTTTAAGATGTCACAAAAAGCTATGAACAACAATGAAAATCATAATCCTGGCCTCCAAGATGTTGTTTTGATCGATTTCAAGTATCACCTCAAGATAGCAGAGCAAATTCTTCACTTCCGTTTCTCTTCCCTGAATCTTTGTTTTTGGTGAGCTGGTATGTGACCAGGCTCTGTGGTCCAAAGTTTGTCCAACAAGAACATTTCTAACAACCTGGTGCACGACTGACCCTTTGTGTTTGTTTATCTGTTTCCCACATATCATTCTGGTCCTATAGCAGCTACAAGGTTACTGCTGTGGGATCAAACATTATCTCTATACTGCAAAAATACCTTGGCAAGACATAATTACGAGAGCAGAGTACAGCAATGAATATATCATCATCATCAATGTGCAGGATCATACGTCCATACTGATGCTGGAGATGTTTAAGCAATGGACCAAAATAAACAGTAGATCGGCCAGAGAGGGAAAACTTTCTTACTTCATACATCCTCTGTCACATGCTAAAAATCCAACAGTGGTTTCAAACAATAAATAGTGTTTGTCTCTTTTCAGTGGAGCTGTTAAAAAACAAATAGATGTTCGTTCTTATTTCAAGTTTGCATGTTTCTATTTTGTCATTTTTTAAATTCCAAATATCACAGCAACATCATCGGCTCCTCTGTCACCAATAAAACACCAGTCAGTAACATAAGATTACATAAAAAGGGTTAAAATCCTACATATTATACCTCCACTACTGCGTCACTACACTTCCTATATTTCTTTTCTTGAATACACACATATGCAGACTACAGTTCAGTCCCAGAAATAGTTTTTTGGCAAATGCCTGAACTATACATACACAGCAAAAACACATTATGTACAAAATAAAGCTTATATATAGCTTCACAAAAAGAAAAAAGCATGGACCCTTTGGAAAGTCCAGGGGTTGTGTCCCTGTGAGGCAAACCTTCCCACTTTTCATCTTTAATCTATATCCTTTTTATCAGACATTTTAATGAGACACGCGTGGGAGACAAATCAACGTGTTGGAACAGAGCTCATTCCATGTGTATTGGCTAAAGGGGAAAGTGTAAAGAATTAACTCGAAACCCAGCCCGACGGGTCCTGACGGGTCCCGAGAGATCCCAACGGGCTGGGGTCAAGTATCCACGCTCTATTTCTGACCAAATCTCAGCTGGACACGTGAATATCTACTCTGTGTGTTGAGATATAAGTGAGTGGTTACCATTTGCATCCAGTAGATTTGACCTCGGCTTTATGCAAATGAACCTATCAAGTGCTGTGAACCAGGCAGGAAAAAGTCAGATAACTCTTTCAAACCGGACATTAAAAATCCATGTGAATCTGTCTTGATTTAAACGGTTAAAGGCACATGTTGCGGTGGCTGTCGTGCATGAAAACACACAAACAAAGACAGAGGGTTTGTCGACTGTCAGCCAAACTTCTGAGGCACTTGTTTGGAGATATATAGATAATAAGGCAGATCAATGTATACTGGGAGTCTGCGGAGTCCTAATGCTTCTTTGCCACGTTCAGTGAGAACAACGCAGCATCAGAGAGGAGGAGGGTGTGTGAATGTTTGGGGTTGTGAGTGTGTAAAGTGGAAAGAAGTACATCCGGCTCTGAACCTGAGACTTGACAGAGAGCGTGTGAAGGTATGTTGAGGAAATGTATATGTCTTTTATGTATTTTCGTCCAAGTGTCCCTATTTCTACATTTTAGTAATTTGCGAGACGTTGCGTGCAGGCCCGTCCCGTCTTATTTGCGCTTCCTGAGCACCAGGTACATGATGCCGCTGATGAGGGTCATGGGGAAGCTGATCCAGGCCAGGATGTAAGAGGAGCCGTATGAGCCGTCCTGAAGACTTGGCACGTGAAAGGTCTTTTTCTGAGCTGTGTAGATGGACGCAGCGATCATCACACATAGAGCTGAGAGAAGGAGGATAGAGGAGGAAGAGAACAAATCATTCAAACTCTTATATTCACATACTTGTCTCTTGGAGGAAGTTGCAGCACATTGAAGGAATAGTTTGACATTTTGGTAAATACATATCTGCTGACACTTTCATATCTTTCTGTTAAAATGAGGCTACTGTCAGATTATTGTCTTATTGTGTCCAAAGGTAAAACAAAGTTCAGTGGATTACAGTATAGTTATACATTGAGACCGTTAGTGGGTGAGACTCTTTGCTCCTCCATCTCTAATGTGTGGTTTGTCCCCTATTCATCCTCAGGCTTGTCTTTATAGCAGGTTCTTGACATAGACTGTTCGCCCAACTTACTGAAAAGTTGAATATGTGTGCATCACTTACAGGCCAGAAGTTGGATAACAGCTGTGAAGATGAACCTCTCCCCCTGTTTGATCCTAAAGAGCTGAAGAATGAAGACGAAGAAGCTGACGCAACATAAAATGGTGCTCAGGATCATGGTGGCCTGGACGGCCTGCAGGTAGGCTGAGGAGAAGGAGGAGGAAAAGTGAAACACACACACACAACCATGCACACACACACAGTCTTCATGGAGTTGTGCGCTGTCTTTACCTGCATCAGTCGTGTGGCTGTTCTCCACGGGGAAGCAGGTGGCGTTGCAGGAGTACCACAGGTCAGTGTAGATCAGGTCTCGTCCAGCTGGCGACACCACCCACCACGCCTTCAACAGGAAATGTTTGATATGATGAGCATGTCCAGTGTAGTATGTGCAATTGCATCACTCCTGGTTATACTCACATTGTGAATGGTTGCAACAAAGACCAGGATGGCTGCAGCCAGATGGAAGAGGATGATGAAGGCTAAGATGATCAACATGGCGGCCCCTTCTGCGAACTTGTCTGCTACTTCTTGCCCGATGCTCAGGCCAGTTAAATGTCTCGCAGGCTGCTGCAGTTGTGTGTGTGACCTCTGTGTGTTTACGCAGGTTGGGAGACAGTCAGGGGTGGACCGAGGTCTCTCGCATGAATGGAGTCTGTTGGAAGAAAGACACAATATAATATGACTCCACAAGTTTGTAAATAGTTTACATGAAAGAACATTCATATTTAGTGGTTTGGCTTTTCTGCTTAACTTGAAACTGGATTAATAATTGTAACGGGAAAATAATTACATTTATATATATTATTAAAATGAAGCTTTGACATTTCTATGGAAGTAACCGCCCTGTGGTTGTATGCCTCCAGTGCAGTTTTAGTATATTTAACATTTGTTTCCAGATTCATATGAGGTCACTGGGACTTTGACCACAGCAATGTGATCAATTCATCTTTGAGCCCAAGTGACAACTGGTCAAACTTTAAGGAAATTCCCTAGAGGCAGACTTGAGATATCATGTTCAAATGGCCAAAATCATGTTTTGTGAGGCCACCATGACCTTTGACCTTTGACGACCCAGATGTAGTCAGTTAATCACTGAGTCCATGTGAACATTCGTGCCAAATTTGAAAAGATTCTCTCAAGGTGTTCTTAAGATAACATGTTCACAAGGCAAAAACCAGTTGTGTGGGTGTTCAAGAGCATGAGGTCCTGTGACCTTTACCTTTCACTTCATCCTTGAGTCCAACTGCATGTTTGTACAAGATTTGAAAAATTCAAAATCAAGGAATATTTTAAAAAAAATTAAAACACATTAATCTAAGTAGACTTCACAGCAACTGTTTCATCTGCAACCAGTTACCAAGATAGACAACATTTCCAAACAATCGTGATAAATGCAGGGTTATTGAAACACCCCCTGAGAAATATCTGTGGCCTCAAATTACAGAAAATGCTCCTGAGATATGAGACAAAGTGTGTACATTGTGTATAACAAAGTGTGCGTGTGTATGGGAGTGTGGTGTTTATTCTGCAGTGATTTAAGGCCTTAATCCTGACTACGACTTGTTGATAGTACCAACGGGTGAACTGTTTACACCTTCAGCTGAGCAGTATGTGCTCGGTTAGGAAGAACCAAGATATAATAGCATAGCAACATAGCCCAGGATAGTGCCACAGGAAATAAAATAGGAAATTCTTGATGCTGTAAACGAGCGTGTTGTGTTTTCACTGCTAATCAGACATTTAAGACGAGCGCGGCGGCTCAGATATCAGCTTATCACAGTGTTTTTAGCAACGTGACCTGGGGAAGAAAACAAACTAAACTTAAAACTCAATCTACGGAGGTTGTTCAGAAAACACTGTTGACAGTCATATCAGCCTGAGAGGCGACCATCTGTTGAAACCTAGATTTCGTTTGTGTGATTTTTTGTTTCTTAATAACGGCTCCATGTCGGTTTGTCCCCGTCTTCAACTTCATGTGCTGTTCTTCTTTTTGTTCCTATGCATTGTGATCTACCACAACTTTACATTTAATGTTGTGACTGATTCTTCTGTGAATTGTCTCAAGGGGAAATTTTGTAAAATAGCAAACACATCAATAAACCCATGTGGTTTGATTTTTATCAAGGAAATAGTTTTGCTCATCTTGAAAAAGGCTTCGTCAGCATCATTCCTTTAAACATTCGTAACTGAAACAAACAATCACATAAGACAAGCTTCTGAATCTGTCATTTCTCTCCAACAAACACTTTAACAACACTGTCTTACAACTTAATGACAGCTCAGCTATACGACCACATTCCTGATACCACTAAACTTCTGTCTGCCCACTGTTGACACTGTGCACATCAAACTCTAACTATCACATGGGGATAATGCACATAAAACTACACGTGTGCACAAAGATTTTAAATGCTGGGACCGGCAAAAAGCCCACCAACGCTTTGGAGAGTAAACAGGCAGAGACACAGGCATGTTTCACAGCACATGTGAGTCCAGGCACACACGCACACACACACGCACACACACACACACAACACATGCGGAGCCAGACACCAGAGGAATTAGCCGTCTCTGCCAAAATGGAGTCACAGTAAAAACAGCCTCTCTCCGCCGACAGGAAGCAGGCCACAGATTTTGTGAGTGAGCATGTGGCTGCGGGGTGCGCCAGAGGATAAGCCCTCCCTGTCTGAGTCTGAGGAAGGGGGGGGGGCATCGAGAGTATAAGCTACACACTTTGATTCATTAGACACGGCTGTCAGGGTTTAGACAGGACGGTAAACAGCAACAGATTTGCAAGCCAAATGTTCATACTCATAATGATCCGAGAGTAAAACTGAAGCAGACAACAGAACCTCAGATGTAAGCCTGCATTTGATGTGAAAAATATGTGTTCTCAATAAAGAGCGTGCAGTAAAGTCAGGCTATAGACAACATATACAGTACATGGTTCTTAGTACTTCATATGTTTTAAACATGACACTTACCACCTTATTATTATTTACACTTTTGTTTGTTTGTTTGTTTGTTTTTAAGCAAGATTGAACAAAAACATGAAACTTAGTGAGGGATGTGATGTTGTTTAGGGAAGAAACTTTTAAATCTATGAATTGATTTCACTTTCTTTAACATGGTAAGAATATGCTTTTTTACATTTTTTTACATTTTCACAGTTTTCCCAAGGATTAATTCCTGATCTTGGTTTGCACATTTAGAGGAGTGATATTTAGGTGCAGCTTGATTGAATTTAAGGGGACTGTCTGTTTTGGCCTTGGCGGAGGTATGTGCTCCACTGAGTGCCATTCTAGTTATTGTATATTGTAAGAGGTCTGGCTCCCGCAGCCTTAGGCCTCTATGAGTTCCCAGAAATTCAGCCGTTATAATACAATAAATCATCATCCCTGAGTCTCTGCTGTGGCCAATCAGAATTCAGCTTTGACCTTGTATAACAATGATGGAGGAGAGAGAGAAAGAGAGAGAAAGAGAGAGGAGGAATAGGTGGAGGAACGAGGGAGGAAGGAGACAGAGAGTGAAAGAAGGAAACCTCATTGGAGGGAAATTGAGGGAAGAGAGAAAAACAAAAACAAAAACACACACGCACACACACACATACATACCAAGAATGCAAAACCGCAAATATACGTCCCACAAGAAATGAGAGACTCGGAGACACAGCTCACACAACGGAAGTTGACGTAAACAATGTCGACTGTGAACATAAAAGCCTGATGACTATTTACTTTTGGTGTAAAATGATATGAATGCACGGCCCTTGTGTGCGTTGGAAAAAGATTCACTACATTGTTTGTCCCAACTGTATTTTTCATTTTAGGGACAAAACATATTACAATAATAACCATTCAACAATGAGCAAATGTCCAAGTTTGAAGAAGCAAACAATCCTTACAAATCTGAAATGATCTCTTTCTCTCTTTCTCTCTCTTGCTGTCAACACACGTCCCCTCCTTCAGCAAGCAGACAAACACGGAGACACATTAACCTACATGTGAAGCCCCGAGATCCCTGAGATCCCCGGGGATCCTTGGGAACGGTGTTACCTTACAGAGGTTTCAGTCAACGCTGAGACTAAAGTGTGAACGCACTGATACTCACCTCTGACAGCCAGCAACAGCTGCAGCAAACACACACACACACACACGCACACACACACACACATATGCTCATACATGCTGTATACATTAGCCACGCTGGTCTGGTATTCATAACATTGATATTTCACAGATCTTAATGCATTATCCTTCACAATTGACACATGTCAACACAAAGGGATGTGTCTCTCTGCTGTGTTCTCTTGACAAGTAAGTCCTAATCCTGCTGTACTCACTCATTGTAATCACTAATAAACTCATCTGGATATTAATGCACTGATCTGTTGTAGTCATAGTGAAAGTGACAAGAATAAAGTTTTTCATGCAGTTATTTTTCACTGTAAAGCAAATTTGTTTAGATACACAGAAGGTTTATATCGGGCTTCAGGGGTTTCCAGTGCTCATGAAACCTACTAGACAGAAAAAAAATAACCACGGAAAGTTTTTACTTCAGCAGCAAAAAGGAAACAGCACATCCAAACTGTCCAGCAGCTTGTTTTATCCAACATGACAGCACATGTCACTGCTGGGAGCATTATCCTGTGGTTTGATGTCATGTTTGATGTTTGAAAAGTGTGGCTCCTCAATACAAACACAAAGGAGAAATAAGAAGTGCTCTGGAGTTTGTAAATCACACAGGTAAGTTGACAAAGTGTCAGACTTCAGCCTCGTCCACTGACACACACATACACACACACACAAACGCTGCCATTCCTCTTCTCCACTCAGCCTTATAATAGGAGGATGGGGGGACTCGGTGTGTGTGTGTATGTGTGTGTGTGTGTGTGTGTGTGCTGACTGAAGGATTCCCTCGCCTGGTGGAAAATGCTGACTTTTAACATCCTTTTTTTTTTAAAAACTCTTTTCATAAAACACAAAGCCACAGACTTAACTGGGCCTCTGCATCTCATCCCCCCATCTCTCTCCCTGTGTCCCACTCTCTGTTTCTCTGTCTCTTTCCGTCTTTGGCCCGTGTGGAAAAACTGACTTGCAGAAGTGAGAAGGCAAGAAGACTTCCAGCGGACACCGAGAAGGTTGCACAGTTCAGACTGAAATGCGACATTTTCATTCACCCTCAACTTTCACTTTGAAATACTTTCTGGGAGTTTGTTTTTTTTGTTGCATAGATAAAAATTATGTTGATATAAAAAAAACTTCTCTATAAAAAACAAAAATAAAAGCTACAATTTGAAGTAACAGCTCATAAAAGTGCCCAATCTGTCCATTTTAAAGGTTTTACACAAGTAGTTTTGAGGTTTTGTCAAGAGTTGACACTTCAATATATCCATGAAAACTAAACCTGATGACGCCTGTGAAAGTTTGGTCCAAAAAGCCTCAACGTCCACGATCAAGAGTGAACCCTCATCCTCATTTCTGCTGTTGGTTTTCCCAGGAATGGCCTTACAGTATCGCAGCTGCAATTATGGTGTTTGCAAATGTGTGTGTACACAACAACAGTAGCCAAGATTCTGTTTATTTTTAGAGCAAACACAAAAGGCACATCTTCCCTGGAATGAAGCCAGTGACTAAACAAACCTTTGTTTAAGAAGAGCACAGAAAAAACACATCAGAAAATACACACACCCACAAATGTACACACACACACACAGTTTGGTTTAGCAGGAATGAATTGTGACAACACAAACATCCTACCTCAACATTTACTAGATATTTTACCACAACTCATGAATCTATGAGTGCATCAGCATTGTCTGTATGAGGTTATGAAACAATGGCTGCCTTGGAGAATGAAATATTTAAGCGATGTTGGGTTTAAGTGAAAACCAGGAGAGATGTGCTCTAAACCAGTGGTTCTCAAAGTGGGTCACAGTCATAGTTTCTATAAAAATGGTACATTAACTGTTGCAGATGGAGATTATTTGCACCATTTCTGCCCCCGATGTTAAACTCTGATATGACTGTGACACATCACATCAGTCTGAGCACAACGAGCCGCACCTGCTGCTTCTGCTCAGCCTGGTTTATTAGCCACTTAGCCAGGGAGATATCGGAGTCAGGCCACATTGTCAAGTACTGCTGAGCCCAAACTATCTACAGAAGATATGATGGCAGTTAAATTTAGTTTAGTTTTGTTCAGAGCAGCAAGGGTGTATCTTATCTTAATGCTAAGCTTCTGCGATTATCAAACCCTTTTCCTACCACATACCCCTGTGAGCCGTTACTCTTCACCTCATTTCAGGAAGCACCGGGATATAACAAAACATCTGTCCATGTAACATGGCCTCCAATTTCAGGAGTGCATTGTATTTGAAACTGTTTACCAACGTCACAAAGGGCAAATTAAATCCCCGGGCTTAGTAGACATTTTCTTTACATTAATTTATCTCAAACGTAAATGATAATCCAGGTGTTCCAAATATTCTCCTATTTCAATTGATTCGAGCCAAACAGCTTGCTCTCAGCCTGTCTTCAGGCACACTCCCAGATATTATTAAATAGCTGCTCTGATGCTGAAAACCTGTGTAGGCCTATTTATCATTAAACGGAAAAGAGATCAGGAATTGTGAAGGGAATACATAAATACTCTGGGAGAATCAATAATGGCAGCAGTGTCATAAAATCCCTTCTTTTGTAATTATCTGGGTTTGTCAAGACTAAGTCTAACATGCGTGTCAAACGGCAGAGGGGGAGAAGTGAGAACACCTGATCGACAGGTAAAGTAGAAAACTCCCCTTGTCTTCACTTCCTCTTTTCTACCAACATTCACTTCCTCTAACAGTTTTCATTCATTAGTAGCCTCACACACTAACCACATGACAAATCCTGCTCCTATCCGATGTCACACACCTTTCACCTCCTGCTGCATTTGCTGGAACTGAAAATATTTTCAAATTAGCGCCGGCGCTCTCGGGCCGCCTGTCACCTCTCATCAAAGCAGTAAGAGCGAGAGAGCAATGAAGGCAGAGCGTCAGAACTGAACAAACACTAAAGCAGCTTTTTTGCTTCTTGCTGCTTGACTGACGCTCCACGTTTACTTTCTCAGGATGAGTAACGTCCAATCAGCTGCACCCAACAGACTTTTTTCCTGTCAGTATCAGTGTAACAGTGTCCATCACAAAGCTTCTAGATAACATGCCGCAAGTTTAAACTTCATTCATCGATTCGTTTATCTCAGCTGACTTTGCGGTTGCTTTACATATTTTGTCTGTGGAGCTCGTAGAACTAATTTAAAAGCTTTTTTGAAGTTGAGGGGGTTTTACTTGGTGGTTGTCAGGGGCGTTGCAAGAGGGGAGGCAAAGCAGGCGATTTGCTGAGGCCTGAGCTGAGGGTGGTGGGGAACCCCATTAAATTCTATGTTTGTCTTTGTAGAGGAGACAGAATGACTCAATGGAAAGACTCGAATTTATCAATATGTGTGATTTGCCTGGGCTGGGGGGAGGTTTGAACTTCAAATGTACGACTCTGCACTTTATCCCTTTATTTTGATGATAAAATAATTGGCTCGGTTCGATGCAGGGCCCCACATGTGCTTCTCGCCTGGGCCCCCAGAGTCCTTTGGAAAACTCCTGATGGTTTTTAATACAAGTGTCAAAGAGAGACAGATCATTGAGGTGTAACGGTGCCTCATCCAGGACGGCCGTCTGAGGCAGTAGTTAAATAAATTAAGGTAATTATGTTGTTCGTGACAGTGGTTGTACATACAGGTTTCATACAGAGACAGGGACGGACAGACAGAGCCTTGTCTGCAGCCTGCAGGCAAGTCTCACGAACCACAAGGGGGCGCCACACAGATGAGAGACTGCAACCTCAATCCACTGCCTCATCAATACTAAACTGCAACTCAGTCATTAATGCAGAAATGGAACGATGGTGACCAGCGCCAAAGTGCAAAGAAGAAAACTTAAATGAGTCAAGAACCATTTGAATCGATGATGACCTGATTCTGTTCAGTCTGACTCACACTCCTGCAGGGAAATGACTCAAAATAAAAAAAAGACACCAGTGATATACAGCAAAAGAAGCTGCAGGGACAATGAAATAAACTCATTTAATGTATAATAACGACAGAAATAAGCAAAGTAAAGGACACACAGAGGATTTAATATTAGCATATGGTCTACAGATGCAAAGTAGGCCAACTGTAGCTTCAGTGGAAAGTCTAATGAGAAACACAGCAGACACGGAAACCTTCACTGAGCTTCTGATAAAAAATAGAAAATAAAATCATTTTTCCTCCAGACGCACAAAACCTCCATTCAGTTTACAGATACATGCAACACACACACACACACACACACACACACACACACTGGTGACTGACAACGCCCCTTTCATTTCCAACGTCTAAAAGTTGGAGCAAGAAGCTGAGTGAGTTATGATCTGTGTAAAAATACCCAGAGGGGAAAACAGCCCCAGCTCCTGTGCACCACTCTGTGATGTGATTACATTATCATCAAATAGAATAAACACATGCTGACTTTGAAATATGTCCTGGCCCTGCTGGGAATTAACATGATCCAAATATTTTGAATATTTAAAACTTTCAAATCAGTAAAAAAGGACAAAAAACTCAGCCGAGAAATACTTGAAGTACATGTTAGAGTGTAAGTTACATTAAAGAAGTATTTCACAGTCGCTCTGTATTTGAATGGGGCATGAATATGTCCCCTAATGTCCGTGCAGCATTCAAACAGTATGCAAACTATAAATCCAGTGTGTACTCACCAGGTCTGCACCGGGAGGAGGAAGCTGCGTCCAGATGTGGGAAGTGGATTCAGTAAATTGGGAATTAAGTGAAGCTGTAGAAGTTTTTTTTCCTCTAAACGTGTCGAAGCAGCAGCTGGAGAACTTGTCATCGGAGGAGCCCAAATAAAAAGTTGGAAGCGCACGTTCCCGGCTCCCCCCAGTGTCGTGAGCGCGCGTGGGAGGGCTCGAGAGCTGGAGCTGGGTGTGGTTATGGGATTTAATATACTGGGGTGTGTGTGTGTGTGTGTGTGTGTGTGTGTGNTGTGTGTGTGTGTGTGTGTGTGTGTGTGTGTGTGTGTGTGTGTGTGTGTGTGTGTGTGTGTTGTCCAGGTTTTAATAATGGTGTGGGGTCTTGACTTCCTCACAGGTTGATGTTTAGGTTAAAGTTATGTTTATGGTTAGATTAAGGTTCAGGTTCAGGTTTTGTTTATTTTAGGTTTAGGTTAAAATTAGGTTTATGTTTATGGTAGGGTTAAGGTTAAGGTTAAGGTAAGATTAAGTTTTCAAGAAATCGATGTAAGTCAACATACAGTACGTCCTCTGAAGTCATGAAGACATGACTGTGTGTGTGTGTGTGTGTGTGTGTGTGCATAAGTGACACATGATGGTTTAAAGCTCTGCGGGAAACGTGCCTGTAAGAAAAGATCACTACAGTCAGTGGGAAGGTTGTTTTTTTTTAAAGTTTCCTCACATGGTAGACGGATGGAAAAGGAGAAAGGAAAACAAACAACAGAGGTCAGACGGAGTGAGAGACAAAAGGGAAATTAAAGAGATAAAAGGGGATGAGGAGTCGAGGAGAGGGAGGCATGAAGAATGAAACACATGCTGGAAATGGGGCCGGGAGGAGATGAGCGATGGAGCAAGTCTGGGTGAGACAGAAGTGCAGAGGTGAAAACGAGCAATGAACATGAGGAGGTTTGCACATATTTTTGTTGGCATAGTGACTTTCCTGTATTTGTACAACCCTTGACTCTTTAAACAGCTGTGGTGTTTCTGCACTTCACCTCCCAGACAATGAGACATTTCTGTCGTTTCCTATGAAAATGCACGTTTCCCCTCTTGATGATGTCATTCATTGAAATTCTCTATAAGAGCAATCAACGAAGATGAAGCTCTTCCATCTCTCTGCTTCTCTGCCCCGTGTCCTCAACAGCTGCTGCTCTCAATCTTCTTCATGTTCACTCATTGCTGCACACAAACATTGCATGAGTGCTCCAGACTTTCAGGCTTTGTGATTTTTGAACAGTAATCAAATCGTGTGTTTTTTTACATTCAATAAAGGGATTTGGTTTTTTGGACATTTTAAGAAATATACTCATTTTTTACAAAAGGAAATTGCAAAAATGAAGCCAGATGTGAACAAGAAAAACCATATTTTGGGAAATCAAGTATTTAGGGGAACCCATAATATTATCATAATATTACAAGTGTGTTCTCAAAATCTCCCTTTTCCCTTTATTTGTCCTAACTCTCACCAAAAACCATTATTCATCCAAATGTTATAGATTACTATTTATTTAACTTGTGTGTTCGTCTAAGTGAGAACAGACAGCGTCAATAAAACATTACATCTATAAATGGAGGTCTGGCAGGAAATTGATAAATGGTGCCTATAGGATTATGGTTTATTTTAATGGGGTCACAAAGTAATTCTCTGAAGTCTTTACTCTTTCCACTGTCGCTGCATAAGTTCACATATGAATTTCCCACCGAGGGTGTGAAAGCCTTTGTTTATACAATGCCACACCCAACTCTAAAGGCATATCACCTCCGAGGCTGAGTCGACAAAAAACTCTCCCATTTGCAAATAATTTACAACTGTAAAATAAACACTACAACAATAATCAACATGCAATAGTTTGCTGTGAGTTCACGCTGTGACCCGCAGGCTCTTTGTCCCTTGTGCTCGGTGGTCCGAGGTTTCCGCTGTGACTGGATAAGATTCTTTTGCGGGGTCATATGGAAATGGTTAGTTACAACCAGCCTGAGGTAATGAAGAGGGCATTGTCAGGGCTCATGCAACAAAAAACTCTTTGCATTTCCGTGGCAGCCACAACACGGGACTGCCGAGTGTGAAGGGTTTCGCTGAAAAAGTCCGAAATTTAGTTCTGAAGTGAAGCGAGAACGGCACTTAGACATGTCAGTTTAAAATCTGCTCATGTAAATACATGGCCCGAGCTTGACACTGGCCTTGACCTCCAGTTTGCATGAAACGTTTTGATTTGAAGTTCTTAAAAAGCCACCATTTCTATTCTTCTCGACAAACGCATACATGGTCTGAAAGCAGACAGCAGGAGGGAGGGTTATTAGGATTCTTTCAACGAGGCCCGGGACGCCCCGCTCGTGTTGCTGTGTATGAACTGCAGGTAACCATGGTCAAAAATTCTCATCGGACCACAACTTGCTCTCAGAGTGTTGGCGCGGGTTCGTGTTTGTGCACATGCAGAGTGGATAGAGCAATCACCTAATATGTGCATTCTCAGACATAATGTGTTGAGCAGGCGGGACAGGAATGGATGGAATCTGTACATTGAGCTGATGATTTCGATAATGTGATTACAATGGATTGTCTCTCCCTCTCTTTCGCTGTGTGTGTGTGTGTGTGTGTGTTATTTTGCGTGTCCCCCTCTGTGTCAGCCTGCTGCGCACTTGTTGTTTGTTTCAACATCACATTGCCGTACATAACAGCACACAAACGTAAGGCCCACATCCACGACCTGTTTAAAGACAAATCAATCCCATCATCCTCAGCTCCGGCAGGCAGCAGACCTCCCCCTCCTCTGTTATGCACGAGGAGAGGTGGGAACAGGTTTAACCTCTCTGCCAGGTGTTAAGTGTCACAGGTAAACACACAACAAACATTAGACCCACTCACACAAATACACACACACACTACACTGTACCTCACTGTCAACACATATCAGTTACCGGCTATTGTTATGGACCTATAGACGGGAGGTGCACAGTAACCCTGTGTTAAAGAGGACAGTGTATTTTGTGACCTGGGGCAGAAACACATCATGGCGACCTTGTGTTATTTCTTTTATATTTGTTTCGCCGTCTTTATCGCTCCAGAGTTTCCAATGTTTTAAAACTGATTTAACAGACGGGAGGCGGCTGTGCTGCCTCTTTCATCTGCAGTGGTTCCTCGTTCCCGTTTGTACCACCTGGACGAGTGCCAGAGACAAACACACACACACACACACACACACATAAACGACAACACACACAGGAAGCACCCCCCCATCTCCCCTGTTCCTGTTTCTCACAGCGTTCATCCGCTCGAGGCCTGCGACTGAGGGCAGAAGGCAGATTGAACAACGGGGAAAAGATATGAGACAGAGCAAAGTGTTGAACAGAAGCATTATTACCAGATACAGAAAATTAGATCATGAGAGAGATGTGATAATGGAACAGTGGTGGTGGTGAAAATGTTTTCTTCAACACTATCCTCCCTGCTCTCCTCTCCTCTGCTGGTGTTGGGACATTTTATACAGGTTTCCCTCGGTAATCGTGAGGAATCCAAATATTAAACTTTTCCATTTTAAATTCCATTATCCAAGTGAGTCGACTGGAAAGACGTGTGTTTGCATCAATAGCCGGAGGGAGGGAGACACAAGGAGAGAGAGAGCAAAGAGAAAGAAGATCCGCAGTTCTCACACTCTTTTGGTGTGTGAGTTTTTGTGTGTGTGTGTCTGTGTGTGTGTGTGTGTGTGGATATAAAACGTCACACACACAAACAGTCACACAAACGCAGGTTACTTTCCATTGCATTTGCATTCCCATATTTTCATTCATTTGCTTAAACACGTGGCCACAGGAGGAAATGTTGCACACTGGGGGAATATAAAAAAAGTAAAGAAACTGGGAGTGGCTGTGAGATTTAAGTCATGAGCACGACAATGTTAGAGTTTGTTCCTTTTCCAACACACACACACACACACACACACACACAAACACACACAAGGAGGGAAGAACCACCCAAACCCTACAAGTCAACAAGGAAATGGCTCCTGGCACAATAACAAGACTGATAAGAAAGCCGCCATTAAGGATCCATAATGCACGCAGTAGTGTGTGAGCACTTTCACTCAGAGCGGATGAACACACAAAAACAGGCGTACCCAGAAAAAACACACACACACATATACAGATCCAGGCGTGTGTTCATACACTGCATTGTTATTGTAATCAGAATGATTTTCATATTTAGAATATTCAAACATGAGATGCTCCTACACAGAGAAGTTAGATGTCTATTTTAAGAAAAGTTTTACAATCTAAGTAAATGTTTTTTTTATTAATAGCCTGACAAATACCAGATCCTGTTTGTACTCGTGTATATTTTTAGTCACAGATATTGCATGTTACATTTCTATGGCAGGAACTTCCATAGAAGTGTTTAAATCTATGGTTTAAATCCACGACGTATGTGCGCACGCGATGCAGAGTAAAACATTTCTATCTTACGCTACATGACCAGAAAGAGGCTGCAAGCCAGCTAATCTTCCTTCCTTTACATAAACACACACACACACACACACACACACACACACACAGATAACAATAGTTACTCTGGGTGATTCTGTTCAGGCAGCGAGTCAGAACAGCTGAGATGTCCCATCAGCCAACACATCACCTCTCCCCTCTCAAGACCCCTGACCTGTGTGTGTGTGTGTGTGTGTGTGTGTGTGTGTGTGTGTGTGTGTGTGTGTGTGTGTGTGTGTGTGTGTGTGTGTGTGTGTGCTTCCCTGCACTTGAGAGTATGAGGGTTGTCTCTCGTCAAAGGACCAAGTAAGGGTGTTATCCCCACACTGACACACTCGACCATCTCATGTTCACACACACAAACTGTCCCTCACCAAAAACAACATCAAAGTCGGTGCTCACACCACCGAGGGTTTGCTGACACCTTGTTGTTGTGTCCGCAACAGATGGTTTTGACTTAACTGGGAAAACATTGAGGGTTAAACAGTTACTGACAGTAAGAGACGCTATAAGAAATTAAGCAAAATGTGCACCTGCTGTGTATCACAATGAAGCAGGGATGTTTTAATGAATGAACTAATTAGAATTTCACAGAAAGGGAGAGAGCATTAGTTGTGTGAGTCTGAACACGAGGAGAGGGACTCTCATCAGTGGTGAACAGGAGTACATTTACAAGCTCTGGAATAAAGATAAGAGGGGGCGGGGCTGCTTAATTAGTCAGTAGGCGAGATGCGGGCCGCTGAAATGGAGGCTGGGTAACGGAGGCACAAAGATAGAATTGATGGCTGGGATTCCTCTGGCTGCCTCCTGACCCAGAATAACTGCAAGAAGCATCTGAAATTCCTTTTCCTCTTGCACGTGTTTGTGTGTGTGTGTGTGTGTGTGTGTGTGTGTGTGTGTGTGTGTGTGTATACCTACTATTGCACCTTTATCATTTTGTCATGAACTATTGACAGACTATTCCCAAGATGAGTGATCACTTCTTCTTCCATGAAATAAGATAATAATTGTCATTAATCAGTGCCTGTTTGATTTTCTTGCAAACGCATTAAACCCATGACAACACAGTGTTTGAAATATGTGTATTTTATTTCTCCATGCAGATGAATATGTGATGGATTATTGTGACCGCTGCCTCTGATTGTGTTTTTGCGGACACTGTGATGTCTGAGGCAAATTCCCACGGGAATCTGCTTTACAACAGCTGAACGACAAACGTATCAAACCACTCGTGTTGTTGCCCTGCAGCAACTGAAACCTTCACCTGCATTGTGGAAATCTAACCTGTGAAAGAAATAAACTGACTCATGAAAGTCAACAGGCGTTTTATGCAGATTTGACTGGTGATTCTGGACATTAATACATTCTTCAGTTTTTATTGACCATTGAAAAGACACAGTTGTGTTTCTCTCCCTGTCGGCTGCGGTAAAGTGATGAGACTTGTCTGCACAGACTTTGCTACGATCTAGTTTGCTGATTAATACAGATTTGCACTTGTTATCATTCAAACACAAGGCGTGTCCATGTCCACACACACACACACACACACACACAAGCATGGATAGAAGTGCATGCATTTACACATCGTGCATTTATGATGGTGAGCAATGATTTTGCATGGCCCGTGTTTATGCTTGTGGGAGTGTGTAACTTTGCATTTTTGTGAGGTGTGGACAAAACAAACATTTCAGTGTCTCTGGAGCAGAAAGAACTTCAAACAAAGTGACACGTGGACTGCTCCTGTTCTCTTTTAAATTAAAACATTGTGTTGAGATCCCTGTCAGGCTCCACGTATTGTGTGATCAGACATTTTTTACTGCAGCCTGTTGGCCTGCAGTAAAAAAACGAAAGGGTTAAAACGGTCTCTGAGGGGATGACCTGACGTGACACACAACAGCTGAGAATTTCATAACGGAGGGAGGAAAGAAGAGGGAGGAGGGGGCGGGAGCGATGAAGAATAACGAAAGAGGATCCAAAACCACAGGGACGATAACAGAAGTCAATATCTGAGATCCGGTCTATAACTAGAATAAATTATTCATGATTGACCTTCACATCGACTCCACATGATGAGATGATTCGTTAGTTGCAATCTCAAGGTTTGGTTGAGTCAGAAATGACATAGTTAGGAAGAGGAATGGTTACAACAGATACAAACATCTTCGTTATGGGAAGGAGGCCGTTGGCGTCATGGTTACAGTGGGTAAGGAACAATTGTTGCCATGGCTAAGAGAGACGCTCACTGGACGACTGTATCACCTGAGCATTAGCAAAGGATTTGGGCTCTTGCTGCAATAATTGATGTTTTTATAGAATTTGATGCTAATTTCTCCACACGTCTAAAATATCTGAGTGACCGGTGGTGAACAAAGCCTGTATAAGTGATTGGAGTATTACTGAGGCTAAGTACTGACTTGAAACATGAAGGCATTCGCATCATCACTTAACTGAAATGTAACCGTAGCGAAAATATTTTTCTGTTTTTACATCATTTCATTTTCTCCTTATGATCCCTTAATGAGAGACGGAGAGGAAAGTAAACTCTTTATGGAATCTAATCTAATTGTTTCCCACTGTTCATCATTTTTTCACATGCGGCTCATTAGCAGCAGCATGTTCGGATCACACGCATCATTTTCCATGAATGAGTTAACTCCCTTTTCCTTTTCAGTTGTGTGACATCTCTGTGCTGCCACACACGACAACACACACACAAAACCCCTTCTGTTAATCCTTACAGAAAAAGTGTGAGTTATGTTAATGCTTGCGTATGTGTGTGTGTGTGTGTGTGTTTCATTGTGTTCCCAGTGTGATGATTGCTTGTGCAGCCAAGGCTTAACTTTTGTGCTGAGTGACTATGTGACCAAAATCTGACCTGAGTCCATTAATATGTGTGTCTGTGTGAGTGTGTGTGTGTGTGTGTGTGTGTGTGTGTGTGTGTGTGTGTGTGTGTGT